ATGGTCAGCTTGGCCACTGTCTTCCTGAACAATCAAATTCAATTTGTTGTCATCAGGAAAACATGCTGCTTTTCTAGCAAGCAATGAAGGCAGGGAATTATAAAGCTCTAAAGTCCTGCACTCTCCCCTAATCAAGATCTTGAAATACTCATACATACCCAATTCAGATGAGGTTCCTCATTTGTTGCTGAGTAAGGGTCCTAGCCACCTGAGGGTCCTTAAATTCTATTTTTTAAGTCTGTCTGAAATCATCAAAGATGATTGAAATGTTCAAGAAATGTTTTCTATTTGAATTTACCTAGTACATTGAAAAAAGTTATTTTGAATATCATTATGAATTCTTGAATTGCCATTTACTCAAAGTGTTATAATAAATAACAGTCATTCTTTTTGATGATCAAATTATCCCACATTTGTCCATAAGGAGCCACTTTAGGCTGGCTCTTATGTTTTAGAGACTTTCCATTGATATTTGGACACAGTATAATATTTATTCTATATTTTCCCTCCCCATACCTGGAATTTGTCATTTCTTTAAAGAACACTGATTACTTTGGGTTAGGAATGATATTTGAAAACCAAGGTCTGGGTGCCTGGTATACTCATTGCCACTGGATGCCATTGCTTCTAGGTCCTTTCAGAAATTAGAAGAACTAGGAAACACAGCTTTTTTTTTTTGGTAAATATAAATTGATTTTAAATTTTATATGGGATTGGAAAAGACCTAAAAGGCAAAATAACCTTAAACAAGGAAAAATATACAACACATGAAATCAAGACTTACAATAAAGTTTTTAGTAGTCAAGATAGAGGGATAATAGTTTAAGGGTAAACAACCAGATTAATGGTTGAACAGAACAGGATGTCCAGAAATGAGTACTCACATATGTTTAATTCATAATTGACCAAGGTACCAAGTTAATTCAATAGGGGAAGTCTTTTTATAAATATTTCAGGAACAACTACATATGTGTATGAAAAAAAACACTATGATCCATGCATGTATTTTTAAACCATGAATTCAAATTGATATTTCTAGGTAAAATTTAATTTACAGTTTTTACCTAATTTCTTTAATTTTGATATTTGTGTGTCTCCTTTCTCATATGCTGAAAATCTTAGTCCTAGAAACAGTAATCTTTCTTTGCAGATCCTTTGCTCTTAGCATATATTCCTTTAGGCAGGTACAATCAGAATACTATCTTTAAAAGTTACTCGAAATAATTATTTTGTCTACATAGTTATGTTACCAGTTAGATATATGATTGGGTTCATTTATTTATTCGATGTATCTGTTTATTTTTAATTATCATGTTTTATCTTTTTATTTTAATTTTTGAATATGTAAAACATTTAAATGGTTCAAAAGTCAAAACTGTGAAAAGGTATACTTGGGGAAGACTCTTTGGGCAACTTTTATCTGTCCCACTCCTTTCTCCATGCCACATAGGTAAGTATTAATGTTAGTTTTTGACTTATTATTCCAAAGTTTCTTTTTGAAAAAAAAAAGCAAATAATTATGTATTTTATGTTCTGTCCATTTCTTTTATACTTAACAGTGTATTTGTAAGATTAGGTCAAATGAGGAAACTTAGGACATTTTCTCTTTTTCTCTATGGTTGCATAGTACCACATAGCACTGCTTCATATAGATGTACTGGATTCAACAAGCCACTTTTAGATGTGTACACATGCACCATACCCAGTCAGATCTGATTAGACAAGTACACTGGGTTCTCTCCACTATCTGCCAGTATTCCTTTTGGGGGCTGTTGCAATAAATTACCACAAACTAGGTGGCTTAAAACAACAGAAATTTATTTTCTCATAGTTCTGGGGTTCAGAAATCTCAAATAGAGATGTTTTCAGATTTGTGCTCCCTATGAAAGCCACCAGGGAGATTCTTCCTTGCTTCTCCCAGCTTCTGGTGGCTGTGAAGTTCTCTCAGCTTGTGGTTACATGACTCCAATTTTCACCTCTTTTCACATGGTCTTTTCTGTGTGCCTTCTCCTCTTTTGTCTCTTATAAGAATATTCACTAGATTTAGGGCCTACCCAGATAATTCACAATGATTTCACCTCGAAATCCCTAACTTAATTATATCTGTAAAGATGTTTTTTCTAAAACTCATAGTCAAAGGTTTTGGGGATTAGGATAATGACATATCTGTTCAACCCACTACATTGGCGATTAATAGTGCTGGAAGGAATAACCTTCCGCATGTGGTTTTGTATTTGTGGAGGTTTGTCTTCACAATAGATTCTTAAAAATGGGATTTCTGTGTTGAAAAAATAACATGTAATTTTGCTAAATTCTCCTCCATAAAATTTATACTATTTTACACTCCTATCAGCTCTGTTTTTCTATAGCTTTGCTACCAGAGTTTGTTGTCAAACCATGTTGTTGTTGTTTTTTCCTAATCCAAATGGTATTTCAGGGTGGTTTTCATTTGCATCACAAAATTTTAACTGTTGATTTCATTTTCTTTATTTATTGATGAAAGTGGGACATTTATTCAATAGCACTTAGATCTCTGCAAATTACTTGACACCCTGAATTTCCAGTGATAAAGAATTAATTATAGAGCTAGTGATGCCCTCAAGTTCACAGTACTGCAGGAATGATTTTGAAGAGTAAGTATTTTATTTATTTTTATTTAATACATGTGGGTGAACAAAGCAACAAAATGATACTTTATGTTTCTTAAATTTTTGGAGAAGACCTGGAGTTCTACATTTTCATCAGTAACTAGAGGCTTATAGGGTAGAAGAGGTGAATCTATCTGCACAAATGCCTATTTCTGGTATTACTAAGTTTTTTCTTTTTTCTTCTTCAATTACAGTTTACATTCAATATTATTTTGTATTAGTTTCAGGTGTACAGCATAGTGGTTAGACAATTCTATACTTTGCAAAGTGTTCTCCCAATATTTCCATTTGCCACCTGGCACCACAGATAGTTATAACAATGTTATTGAATGTATTTCCCATGACTGTTTTGTAACTACCAGTATGCACTTCTCAATCCCTTCATCTTTTTCACTCAGTCTCCCAACCCTCTTCCCCTCTGGCAACCATCAGTCTGTTCTCTGTATCTATGAGTCTGTTTCTACTTTTTTTGTTCATTTATATTGTCCTTTAGATTTCACATATAAATGAAATCATATGTGGTACTACCAAGTTTTGACAGTGTCACATGTTCACCATACACTGCCATTTACCCAGTTATTTATGCAGTTCTTCTGCCCCTCAACTACATTGCATGCTTTGGAGATCAGGAGGCTGCATCTTTTTATCCCCAAGACTTAGACTCATGCTTTATACATAGTGGGTGCTCAATAAATGTTTAACTATGATGACAGGTTACTTTATGGTAGAAAAAAATTGAATTTCCTAAGGCAAGTGCCTTCTATTTTTGTTCAATCAATGTAATGAAAGGTATCATTTTAAAGAAATCTGGCAATGAATATTGTGACTTACTATGTATAATCAAGTACAGGCTAAGTTGCTGTAACAAGGCCACTCAAAATGTCTTAAAAGATTTTTTTCTCTCTTGTAACAGTCTTGAGGGGTTTATAGCTCCGAAGGAGATGTCATTTAGGGACCCAAACTGGTAGGACAGCTCTGCTATCATCCTGAGTATGGATGGGGCTTTCATCTCTGGGTCTGAGATTCATCCATTTTACTGGATGTATTACTAGTCCATTCCTTTTCATTGCTGAATAATAGTCCTTCAGTATGAATATAATCCAGTTTTAGAAATGCTATTTGGACAATTCTAAAACTAGAGGCTTTAACAATTATGAGTTTTTTTTTCATATAGCACCATTTTGGCTTTTTATTTTCTTTTATTTAATGAACTTTTATTGAGTGTTTCCAGAGGCCAAATACTGTGCTCAGTGATCAGTGCAAAGCTGTGTAAATCCCTGATTCGTCCTCCAAGGTACAGTTCATCCAAATGAAAAAACTGTGTGGTTCCAATCTGATGGAAACCACATGTTTTTAAACAATCAGTTTAAGTATGGATACTTGCTAAAATGATACTTTGTAGCATCAAAGTATCTAGATGCAGTAAGATCTCTTGTAAGACATCTCCAGACCATCTTCCTTCTTAGTCTTATTCCAAGTTACAGGTGCCTGGCCTTAAAAGGCATTCAGGATTCAGTGCCACGTCCCTCAGGTTCTGATTACGATTCTACTACTGGATTGCTAATAGGGCTTTGCACAACACAGAGAATGTGCATTTCTTACGAAGCAAGAAGCAAGATCCTGTAGAACCGTCTGAGTGAGGGACTCTCATATTCCAAGTGAGGTTGGGTCTCAGAAACCAAGGGCTCTTCATCGACAGCCTAGGCACATCCTTCCCTCTTGCCAAAGCCATGTATTTGAGCTGCGATTTTGGGATGATCAAAGGGATTTCCATGGATCCCTGTCCCCTCGGTATGATTCCAGAAGCTATTGTAGAACTTAAAATAGTTTGAATTTTCAAAGCCCTGAAACTTTTCTTACTTAGGTGTTTCTATGGTTCACGTAACACTAGAGGAAATTGTGCTTGGCACAGACCTGGGCGTCGCTGCCCAATAGCTCCACGTTCTGGAAAGGCGGTCGCAGTGCCTCGCTTCCTGTATAACTACATTTCCCAGGAGACCTTGCTAGTAGGAAGGCGGACCGTGCTTAGAGCCGGCCCACTGACTCCCGGCGTGCCAAAGTCGCCGCAGTCTGATTGGACGGCTCTATCGTAGTGCATCCCGGGACTTATAGTACAGTGAAGGCATGGGGCAAGCTTCTTTGTGACGCGTGGCGCGGGCTTGGCGCTCCATGGCCCTCCATGGCCCTCCTTGGGGCTCCTTGGGGCTCCCTGGGGCTCCTAGGCGCTCCTTGGTGACCTTTTGCGCCCCTTCTAGGAGTCCAGACCAACGCGCACGAGCGCAGCTCCTGAGGTGAGACTGGCACCTCCCGCGGGGCGGGGCCGTTGATTCGCCTTGACACCGCCTTCCTGCCCCTCCCCTATTGGTGCCCGGCTTGCCCCTCCTTCCTAGAGTCCCAACTGCAGCGGCGGCAGCGCGAAGGGGGGCTGCAAGTGACCCAAGCGATTCGCAGGTCTGCACCCTGTGCGGTGACTTGCGCAGCGCAGGCGCTTCCTTCTCCCCCCGCGGGACCCGGGCTTCCCGCGGCAGGATGTTCTCCCGAAGGATCCACGGGGATGTGAAGAAGTCCACCCAGAAGGTCCTAGACCCCAAGAAGGACGTGCTGACCCGTCTGAAGCACCTGCGGGCGCTACTGGGTGAGGCGCGGGCGGGAGCTCTAGTATCGGAAGCACTGCTCGGGCGCGGGCTGGGTTGGGGTCGGAGCTGGGATGCCGACGGCGTGGGGTGAGGGTGGCGGGGCGTCTGACCCGGTCTCTGGGTCTTGGCATTGTTCCCCGGAAAACCGGCAACCTGGCCCTCGAGCAGTTACCCTGTATTCTCACCGGGTAACCTCGAGGTGGGCACAGCCGTGACCGTCCCTTCCCCAGCAAATACTGGACCTTAAATTGCCCTCACACACGCATTGAGCTGTCATCTCCCTTCCCAATTTTTAAATTTTTATGAGTCCCAGAGTATACGAACCCTAAGTAGTCCTCGCATACACTTAATTGAAGTGTTTTCTCTTTTCGCTTCCTCTTCCCCCTTTAAATTTTATTTTTACTTTTGAGACTGAGACTCCAGGTCGTCCCAGGATACATTCAATTTAACTATAATATCTCTTTCCACCCCACTCCCTCCCCCTTTAAAATTTTATCTTTATTTTGAATCTGGCTGCTTCAGTTTCTTTGTGTCCTTGGTCGTGTTTGCTTGGAGGGAGGGGTGACTTTCCTAGGTTCAAGGAGGCTGCTTCTCCTTTATTGCAGGATGACAGTAATGGTTATATGCCTTCTTCCGTTTTTATGAGACTGCTGGTGGAGGTTCAGTAGCTCCTCAGGTGGGTCTGCAATTGACCGGGATGAAGCTCATCCCTGTGGTTGTGAAGTATCCACAAGGCTTTCTGTCACCTGCTGCAGGTGATTTGTAGCTGGTTTGCTAAGCTGTTTTGTGTTCTATTTTCTTCCTTAGTCGTACCTTTTGTTTAGGATGAAGACACCTTTGCTGTCTGTAGACTTTGTGTATTTGGGTGCTGAGAAAAGGACACCTCTGCTTCTTCGAGGTGCCATTTTTCTTAAAATGAGCAAAAATCACCTGATTTAGGGCAGGTAGTCTTAATATGTTGAATATAGCAATAAAAGAATTAATTTTATTTGTGAGAATTCTACATAAAGATCTTGTTCATGAGATTAAAAGTTGCAAATTATTTTTATACTCTAAAAGAAAAAAACATCTGGTTTTGCCAAGTGAAGTTCTTCACAATCACCATTCCTTAAGATTTCACTGTTTGTTCAGTTTAGGATGAAATGTAAATTAGTTACTGTTAGAGGGATTAGTTTTCAAGACCTTTGAAAGTGAAATGTGGTGTTCTTGGTAAACTGAACTTTCTACTTCCTGTAGTAAAATACCAGGCACACACAGGTTGCATTGTGCAGAGCCTTTTTGTAGTGACTGATTAACACCTACTGCAGGGGCATTTTTGATAAGGACAGTTGAGCAGTATTTTAAAGCATTTGATACTTTAGGACTTTTTCTGTGATAGAGAATTTTAACTTTTGTAATGTCCAAGTCTGTAAGATTAATTTGGCTGTTTTGTAAAGGCAGAATCAATTAAACCGAGATCAGTTTGGTTTCTTAGAGATACACAGTACACAGTTACCATTCTGAGAAAGTAGTTAGCCAGCTTTCACGGCTATGTAATTGTGGTTTCATTTTATGCGTGTCTTATTTTGAGGAACTTTTATCATTTCATTTGAAGTCATTATGACTTAAGTTGTGTAACATGGAGAGGTTCTTTGATATTTCTGTAGATATATGTTGTTCTTTTGTTGATGCATTCGTTTGTGGAATGGCTTAGTTTATTACTGTAATTTTACCCATTGGGACTAGATTTTTGTAAATGTGTCTCAGGAATTTTAGTCATAATATTTAATGTAAACTTCCACTTTCAATTGTGGTTTAAAACTTTAAAGAAAAATAGTACATTACTGCCTTAGTTCCTACCACTTCACCACTTGTTGGCTATTTTAAGAAAAAGTCTACTTGGGAAAAAAGGTCTCTTGATCTGAAAGATGGGAATTAGCCAAGATCAAGAAAACTATTTGAAGAAAATGAATAGAAATTATTATTGTATTTTTATTTGTATATTTTATAATACTTTTGCACACATTTTATCTTCCAGTATTAATAACGATGTCATTTTTTACGTACAGAGATGATACTACTGACTTTCATTTGCAGCACAGCTACGTGAATTTGGCCTAGTTACTTAGCCTATGTTTGAACATTAGTTTCTTTACTCTGTTAAATGGGTTTGATAATGTCTGCCTTGTAAAGGTTATTGTGAGTGTGATATATTAGGTTGGCCAAAAAGTCCATTTAGTTTTTTCCATAAAATAAAACACATTTTTCATTTTAACCAGTAATTTTATTGATTTGGATATTTTGTCAGCCAGCTGTCTTAAGTAGACTAATTTTTTTAAAGATTTTATTTATTTATTTTTAGAGAGAGGGGAAGAAAAGGAGAAAGAGAGGGAGAGAAACATCAGTGTGTGGTTGCCTCTCATTTGCCCCATACTGGGGAACCTGGCCTGCAACCCAGGCATGTGCCCTGACTGGGCATGGAACCAGTGATCATTTGGTTCACAGTCCGGCACTCAATCTACGCACTCAATCTACCGAGCCCCACCAGCCAGGGCAAGACTAATTTTTATGAAGAGAGAACAAGTCTGTAATAAGTATCAAAATAATAGAGGCGGGGGAAATTACCACAATCATCATTCCTTGAGATTTCACTGTTTTGTTCAATTTCAGGTCATGTATATTATTTAGTTATGTCAGCTCTCTCCCTCATGGTATAACATTGATTGTTCTCAATTAATGCCTTGATTTGATTGCTGTCAACTTCAAGTGGTCTACCTGACCATGGAGCATCATCCAGTGAGAAATTTCTACATGAAACTTTGTAAACCACCTCCCTTTTATATGTTTATCAGTCACAGCACCTTCTCCATACACTGCACAAATTTTTTTGCATTTCAGTTGCGTTTTTACCTTTATTGAAATAATCAAGCATAATATGCCAAAAATGTTGCATATTTTCTTTTATCTTCAATATTAAAATGGCTATACCAGAATTCACCAATTTTGATGTTTTTTTAAAATGCATGCTAATATGACAGCTGTCACAATACAATCTAACAAATTGTTTCGAATGAAGTTAAAGACAACTAAGCACTGCTAGAGCCAACTTACAGAAAAAAAAACTTTTTGGCCAACCCAATATAAACTATTTCAACTTGGAGTAGGCACTTGACAGTTTCTTCTTCCATTACTTGTTAATCATTCATATGAGAATGAGAAGCTATGGTAATGGCTATGAGAAGCATAGGTAATTCCCCCCCACCTTTACTTATTTTCATAATAGTGATGGACTTGTTTTCTCTTCATAAAAATTTTGTGTTTAAGACAGCTGACTGACAAAACACAATTAGCTGTGAAAAGTAGAGTATTTCTTAGTGTCATAGTAATGACTCCAATTAGAACTTGCTTAGCTACTTTGATCTGGCTTTATATTATAGATTGGCCTGATTGATTTTACAGTGGGGGGAAACTGAGGCATAGGAGGCCTTACAAGGGGACAAACCATGTGCTAAATTGTCTATAAATAGGAAGAAGAAAGAGCCATAATGTCCCTTGACTTCCAGTTCTCCCTACACTGTTTCAATTGTTATTGGGAAAGTAAATGAGTAAATAAAACAAAACAAAAATAAAAACATACTCTGTATTGCTATCTTGCTCCAACAAAGATCCTTTGTCTCATTAAAAGTTGAGTGGCTACTGAGTCCCAAAACAGGGTATAGAAATGGCATTGTTATAACAAGAAGAGTGGGGGTAATAGTAAACAATAGTGCACTGTATAATTAGATAGTGGCTTATATGGTAGACTCTGTTATAGAATTTCAAAGAGGCAAAAAAGATAATTAAGAGTGGTATAAAAATAAGAGCACCTTGAAGTTTTAATTGTGCTCTGCCCTGAAGAATGGTTAGACCAGCTCTGTCCAATAGAAATATAATATGAGCCACATGTGTAATTTAAATTTTCTAGTAGTCACATTTAAAAAAGTAAAAAGAAACAAGTGAAATTAACTTTAATAATGTATTTTATTTAACTCCATATATCTAATATGTATAATATCAACAGGTAATGAAAATAAAATATTATTTATTATGTATTGTAAACTTATACACATCTCATTTTAGACTAGCCTCATTTCCAGCAGTAAGTAGCTATATGTAGCTAGTGGCTACATACTGGACAGAGCAGGGTTAGAATTTGAGAAAGTAGAGGGGGAGGGCAATTTCAACTAAGAGATGATGGAATATACATGGCAATGATGTGGAAGGGTAAGGAATGCCAGCCTACCTCTTCCTCATGTCCGGTGGGGGAGTAGTGAGGGTAATGTTGGGCTTTGAGGATAGGGTGCTGGAATCCTGGTCGTGTGGGCATCCAAAGTGTCAGATAAATGACTGGAGTACTGTGTAGGCCAGGAGTAGGGGCAGGACAGTGAGTTGTACTGAGGACTTGTCGGGAAGGAGAGGAGTAGGTTGCTTGACTAGTTCAGGGCCAGATTAGAAAGGGTTTTGTTTACCTGAGTTAGAAGCTCAGATCTTATTCTGTAGGTGAGAGAGCCTGCTTGGAGAATTCTTAGCAGGTCAAATAATAAATTCTGAGAACTTTGTCTCTGCCAACAGGGCCAGGAAAAATGGATTGGGGCTCATGGGAGGGGTGGCACTAAACACAGGCAATGATGGAGCAAACAAGTGATGAGGGCCTGAAATAAGAAGTTCCATGAATGGAAAGGAGGGGTGGGATATTAAAGAACCAGAGTAGAAGGAGTGCTTCTCTTAATAAAATAATGAAAGTGAAGTTTGCAGGAGCTAGATGAGGAGTAATTAATCAGACGGAGAAGAGGGTTGGGATCAGAAGCCACAGTCAAGTGCAATCAAGTGACACAAGGGTTTGGACCAAATATTTAGAACCAGAGAGGGAGACTAGTTTCTCACAAATGCTCCATGCACTGATAGAGCAAAATAGAACATTGTGGTATATTTTCTTTTGTGCATCTGTTGCTCTAAGTTCACTTACAATGTTAAATATTGT